ACACGAAAACCTTATATTTTGAGGAAAAGTCTCCCGCTCAATTAATGTCTTGTAGGGAAACTGGTACAATATTTGACCCGCTCCTGTTCCATAAGACTCGAAATAGGCTTTACAACTATACAACAGCATGTATAAATTAGGGACTCGAATACGATCTTTTACACCTAAAGAAGTCGCTGATCTGAACGGAAGGTTTTTGGATGGCGCAAAACGATCCCAAATAAGTAATGTTTTCGCCATATACATCACAGTTTTGCAGAGCAGCCAAAGAGGGTAATCAGTGGGAAGGAAAAGTAGAGATTTTGTTGATAGTGCATCTACTGCTGTAGACAGTCCCATTCAATCGACACTGTAGGTTCGAAGATGACTAAGGAAATAATAAAACGCTGAGCTCCTCGAGATGAGCCACGAAGTTCCAAACCTACAGTACCTTGTTTGGTAAGGGAAGGTAATGAGTCGCGCACCTATCGATCAGCCACATGAACGCCTCTCAAAGCGGCAATTCGATCGTGTGCGCTCAATCGATCAATACTTGGATCCCAATATTGGTTGCATTGGCTACATCAAATGCCATTATCGTTTTCAGTTCCGGGTTTCCCTTCAAGATGATATCGTTACACCCCAAGGACCATGCTTATAGGTCCCCTTTCAGCCTCTACTGATTCATCTCGCACTTTGGTGGCAAGGGCTCTGTTCACGCCGCATAAGCTCTCCCACTGACCCTAGCTAAAATTAGTTTAACAACTAGTTTGTTTTATATTCGCGGCAAATTGTGAACTCGAGTCTACAAGACTAACTGCCCACTCAGTCTCCGCGCAACTGGTTGAAAGTGCGTCAAACTCACCTCTTAAAGATTAAGAGTAAAGATACCAAGGTATCTCACAACTCCTCCCACCAATGCTAAGATGTAACGAATTCCTTTCCAGGATTAAAAAAATGGTCCCTTTGGGGATGTGTCATCTCTTCACTGTAAGTGACTTAGCTTAAATGTTTTCCAGAATTCGCAATTAGCACTGAAAATGAAAAGTCCCAAAACATTTTTGAAAGAAAACGTCAGAAAACTACGCATTTATGTACAAATATATGGAGCGAATATCCAGCGTTCTTGTTCACCAAAGAGCCAGGAATTTTAAATCTGGGATCGCCTTTATTTGGTAGTTACGATGCTGTGATATACATTTTCCTTATTCTGCAAAGCATTGGAAAATGATTCCCTCATGTAGCCTTGACGGTGATCCACATGTACGTATAAACGAGGACAGCCAAAAACGTCGCAACTGTATTTCACTGTGCGCACAAACCATAAAGGCCTCAGGGTTGGTTTAGCCATTGATACACAGTGAGCCTTGACCAAAATCAACCGTCAGACAATGATAAATGTCCCGAAAATGACAGTGCCTCATGAGGATTCGGAGCTGTCAGTAACCATGGTAACACTTTTCTCCTCAACGTCACTCACCTTTATTAGATTCATCGTCGTCAATAGGAGTCTTCAGTGCAGTGATATCACGAAAAGTAAGGAGCATAAGAACCGTCTCAGCTCTTTCATTCACCACTGGCGCTATGTAGACCATCAGCCAAAGAGGAGTGCCTAAAGTACCAAAAAAAATCACCACATATGAACGATTTCGAAGTTTTCTCCCAACGCAAAATAGAAAGTGGCTTTTACTAGCTAAGAAGTAAGTTTAATTTATCCCATGAAATAAGAGAAAGATGATGATCTGGTGGAAACTGGAGAGCGACGGATTAGGTTGGATTAAACAGAACTGAGGTTTGAGTCCTATTACAAAGCTTAAGCCAAGTGTTTTGAGTGATGCCTGTCGGTGCACCGTTCCTCAACCAAAAATGCCAGGATCCTCCCGTAAGACTTAAAAATTGTGTCACGTACGGTTTTTCTTGTAGAGGAGAATTTCCAGTTGTTCTTTGGTTTGATTATCCAGGGCTTGCATTAAACGCTCCTTCATTTCCTGTGTCGTCTGTTCTCCATAGAGGTAGGAACAGTTGCCACTTTTTTGCATTATATCAACTCGACTGTAGCCTGTCATCTTAGCGAAGCCCTCGTTGCAATAGACGATGGGATAGTCGACTATTCGGGCGTTTGTTAGAAGAAAACTTTGGACTTAAGGCGAAAGCAAAAGAGGGCATGTTATAGCGTGGTTACAAAGCAAATACGTGTTTCGCGTGTGGAGATTAGAGCGTGTATTATTCAAAAAGTCATTTGCTGAAGTAAAGTGAAACAAAACAATGCAAAACGAATGGCTTAAGTGGAAAATTATCCCTCCTTTCTCCGTTGCTTGAAGTAAGTGTTTTTACACACGACAAATCTTGTTAAATAGTATCACTTTTGACTAAAACCGTTAGTATTACTGAGCTACGTGAACTCTTTCGCTGGACTTCAACACATTCTTTAACAATTAGAGTGCACCAGATGTTAAATCTGGAAGCGGTGCTGTTGTTGTCCATCGATCGAAGATTTGTGAAGAGGTGCTGACAAACGCCTTCCAATTCCGAAGTCGTTCACGCCATCTGAAGCGTGCATCTCTTCGGCAATAAAACCGATGCGACAGCAACATTTTAGCAATGAGTGAAAATGAAACTTGGCGGATTGCTAGGTTGTTCTGTTGTCGCAACAGAATGGGTATGTCCACTCGACCGCCAACCTGAACACCTCACTATTAACACCATCGAGTGACTTGATGGCGTTTCTGCAGTCGTCAATTCATTGCTCATTTGGAAGTAGAGAGAAGACTCCATAGTTTGTATCCATGAGTGCGTAATTAAGTTATTTGAATGGAAAGCCGGAAACTGATTACCATACATAGCAAGTGCGATGCGAAGAAAAGACTCCTTTGGGCATATTGTTTTCAGCCCTATTCCTTTACTATTTGGTACTTCTACCTGAACCGATAATAAGAAGTAGATGACGTGTGAAAATAGAAGTCATGTCAGATCGGCACACCAAATTGATGGGGAGGTGGCAATAAAAACCTGATGTCAAGTGCGCATGAAGTGGCATCACCTACTTTTGAAAGCGAATTATGACGGCCCTTGAATGGTTCACTTTAGTAGAGTGGGGAGA